CTGAGAAGTCAGGTGGCGAGAGGGTGAGAAGAGAAGGTGGACTTAGAAGAGGAAGAAGAACTCTCTCTCTCTCTGTGTCCAGTACTAACCTGTGAAGTTGGCGCCTTGATGCAGGTACCACGAAGATGGAGTTGGAGCGACGGCGCCACAGGTAAGTATCACTGGCCTCCGCCAGTCTCTCTCCCACTCCACGATCTACCACCTACCAGCGCCCAGCGCTGAAGACTACAGCTACAGCTATGGCGCCCAGCGCCGAAGACTACAGCTAGCGCTAACTACAGCCTAGCACTGAAGACTACTGCAACGCTCCTCCTGAGTGCTGCGGCCGAATCCTGAAGACTACTCGTGCCTACTGACCACTACCTACCCGTGAAGTGCATGGGAACTTCCTATGTACTWCGGGTGTGCCTCCTGAGCCTGCCGAAGGGAGGCAGGGGCTGCAGCTGCAGCTCCTGCTCGAACTCGTGAGGAACAGGCTATTTCTGGCCTGTTCCGCATCCCTGTTTACGTGCCTGAGTCTTAGGGGCAGGTCGAAACAATGAGGGCCTGAAAATGGCCCTCCGTTTCAGGCTGAAAACTTTGGGTCTGAAAAGACCTAGAAATAGGCTGAAACGGGGTAGGGCCTGCAGGCCCTCGTTTTTCAGCTTTCAGGCTGAAACGAACGGGGCCTGTAAGCCCTAAGTTTTAGGCTTTTAGGCTGAATGTCCAGGACGGGCCCTGCAGGCCCCGTGTGGCTACGCAGTATGCCACAGTGTCCCAGGCCACTCTGCTGATGACATTTTGTTTTTCTTGGTCCCCTCTCCACTGGAAGGTCGCCATCTGTCCTCTCAGGCTGCCTGCCATCCTTTGCTCAGGGACCAGATCGTGGGCATGTACCAGATGGAGGCTAGCAGCATATTGTTATAGCGAGTGCTCTCTCGAAGATTGAAGTGTGCTTGTTTTTCCATCTTTCCATTTTTTCAAGGGTGGGTTTAGAGATCCAAGTGTCATTGGCGGTGGGTTTTCCCAGGGCTGGCAGGGCTATCCCCAAGACTCGATTTGGACCACCAGGGGCATCCGTTTCACTTGGGCCTCCTGGTGGCCTTCCCCTTTGGTGATGAATCCACCAGCCTCGAGTCTTGGTTCCCCAGTTCACCACCATATCGAATATGTATGAGAATTTGCTCATAGCGCCAGGATTTCCTCAGTGTTAGAGTTCATTGCTTTTGTCATTTTGGTGAGGTCACTGCAAATATGGAGTAGATGGGAATTGCTTCCTCAGGAATCCCTGCAATGCGGAGCCTTGTGATGCTCTTGTGGTCCCTCAAGTTCACGCCAAGAGCCTCCATGACCACCAGAAAGAGCAAAGGGGCTAAGGGGTCCCCTTGATGGACTGACCGTCTCCAGTGCTAGGCGGCCATTGAGCTGTACCTGTGTTGTAGCGTTACGATGAAGGATCCCTACCCAACTTCGGAACTCAGGGGGGCGAAATTCAGCTTTCCGAGGCAGCTATCGAGGAAGCGCCAGTCCACATGATTGTAGGCCTTTTCAGAGTCTATAAAGATCAGCGAGACGTTTTGCTGGGACTGATGTGCTAGTTTTATCACTTCATTAACCAGGATCATGTTGTCTTGGATGGTATTTTCCCTCATGAAACTGGTCTGGGACGGGTGTATAATACCTTCCAAGAGTGGGATCATGCGGTTGGCCAGTGGATTGGATATCAGTTTGTAACCGGGTGATGGTCTATAGTTGAGAATATCGGTTTTATCCCCTTTTTTGTATGGCAGCGTCAGGACCCCTTTTTTTTTTGTGTGTGTGTGGGACAAATGCTCCAGTCTATTCGTGGGGAGCAACACGTGCTCAGAACCGGGCCCAGCGTCCCATATACCCCTTGCCCCACCATTCCCCAATCCTGCCCGTCGCCTTCACTTGCGTGTAGAACTCCAGCAGGTCCTTCGCTACCGGGCCTCACATAGCTGAACCCAAAAGGGTGAAAAAAGGAACTCGTTCGTTGAATTGGAGTACAACACGCTCATTTCACCTTGCCTTCCCGTGCCCCTCTGTCTGTCTCTTGCTATTCTCTCCCACCCATTCCTCAAGGGTTCCAGCATTTGAGGTGCATGTATATACTTAAGCTATGTTTTATGGGTGACCAATTGGCTGTGGGTTGTTTTCCCCTCTTGCTGCTGTTGGTGGTGAACTGATCTGCGACTTCCCCGAATGGAAGGAGTATGTTTTTTTTTTTTTTTGGTTATATATTAGCCTCAATGACTTGTGCTGTGGGTGTGATTGGTGTTTCGGCCTTCGCATAAATTCAGTGGGAACTGGGAATGGTATATTCAGATTATGACATTTTTGACTGAGCTCTGGATGTAATCACAGTTGGATGCATCCAACTGTGGCCAATTGCAACCAGAATTATCAGATACTTTTATGAAACTTGATGAAAATGCTCGTGTGAGTATGGTGGATGGTTTTGGCCTCTGGCAAGTGGTTGGATTGTGATGCTGTACGTTTTTCGCCGTTTTCATATCGCTCGAGTTTTTTGCTCGTTTTATCGGACGAAGCAGAAGGGCTTGTGTTCAGAGGGATATCCATCCCCCTGAATATTTTTTTCCCTGCAGGGTTCGATGAAACGTGTCGGGTGTGGCCGCAAGACTATTTATGATGGACGGGTTTTGACCCTGGCAAGTAGTTGGATTGTGATGCTGTACTTTTTCGAACTCTTCAGTTCGTTGCTCGCTTTTTATGCATGCGCAGCAGAATGATTTCTTTGGTGTTTACACTTTCTATCTGTTCTCATGCATTGACTGATTGTGCCATTTAGTCTCTCATCGTGTGAGTATACCCTAATTGTCTTTTTTTTTTTATAATCCCAATGAAACTAATTTTGTTATGTGCTTGGTGGATATGTTGTATATGTTTGCATACCTCTCACCTGCACAGTCATTGTTCCCGCTCCTCCCCCCCCCCCCCCCCCCCCCCTTCAAAGTCATTGTTTCCTCAATGCTTTTGCTTCATTTTTGTTTGGGTAAACATCCTCAGTGTCATCCTGTCTCACCGGTTGAGTGAACCCTGGCCAGACCAAGGGACCAAGGGTCTTTGGACATATGATGGCTTACGTTCCTCAATGCCTTGTGATGCCTTGTGATTGGCTGTGGATGGTTTTCCCTTGTGGCGGAACAGATAATGATTGAAGATAGATGCTCAATGTCAAGAGGGAGGTGCAGGGTGTGCCGAAAGAGGTGACGAAGGTGGGCGTGGCGGCGAGGAACAAGATTGACTGAGGGGTCCCTCCCCCTCCCCCCCTGCCCCCCCTGCCCGTTGCAGCCCTTCTCCTCTGCCTCTCTGCCACAACCTTAATGCGTTTGCGAAGAATGGATCGACTGATAGAATCAAGTTTAACCACACAGAGTACCTCACACATGCTTTCCAATGAGGGCATGGATGGACAATGGGTGGAAGAGAACCACAGTGCACTTGGAGATTGCCAATGGGGGGACTTACAAGTTCGAGAAAAGCTGAAGGTTTTGATAGATAAGTCACAATGGGTGTATGCAGCATTCTGGGCGCCCTCAGATGACGACAAAGGGTATGTTACAGATTATGCCGTGAGTGCGTGGGCTACCGCCTCCTCCACCTTGTCATTCTTTTGGCTGGATGGGGCTTCTCTTCCCCTCTTTCCCTCCTCTGCTCTGGGTTGCCAGGGTCGCCTGGGCCCAGGAAGCCTGGACCCACTTTTTCGGGTCATCCGGGTGAACCGAACAATGTCTGTTTTTCCTGTTCTTTTTTTTCATCTCAAGGAGGGGCATTTCTGCACGCACCAAGACGAGCTTCGGCCTACTAGCGGGGGGTGATATGAGCATCCTCCCCTAGTAGGCCTGTTGCTGGCTGCTCCAATCTATTAGTGGGGGGCTGCACCTGCTGGGAATTGGGCCCAGCATCCCAGGAAAACAATTACAGTAGTATTTGCACTGAGTACCAGGGCCATAACCCAGCTTCGGCTTTCTCAGGAAACAAGCACATCACTAAATGCTGAGAACACAACTGGGGATGATACCGGGGCCTCTTCGCCCTGCCACCAGGCGCCTGATGTATTGCTCCTCCCTAGCCCCTTTGCAACCTGTGTGGCTGCCGCTGCTTCCCAGGGGCCTCCGTCTTCTCCCTCCTGCCTTCTGGTCCAAAGAGTGCCATACCAGTGGTCTCCTAAAATTGCTAGAGGACAGCGGACCACCTTTCCTGCAGCAGGCATGGCCCACCCATTGTGTTCTCATCCTGGCTTGCAGAAGTAGGAGTGGTCATTATTGGTCACCCCTGCCGTACCACTGTAAATCCAATCCACCATTGCAAGCGGAGGCAGGGAAAGCATGGCTCAAATCTGGCCTTGACCCTTGGTGAAGTTTGGTAATGTCTCACCTTGGGGGGTAGGAACAGTATAAACGGGGTTTAACAGGGATAGATGTGCCATAATTTTTTATTTTGTTTTCGATTTAATAAGTAATTTTCATGTGAACCTCAGCCGTAAAAGCGAAAAAAGGAAGTTTTTTTATTTGCTGTCTAGGGTCATGGGTTAGAGACCCTTGGCGCTTGTGGGTAATTCCCCCCCCACAAAAAAATAAATAAATTATTTTTTAAAAGAACCAAAGATAGGTTTGCCATAAAAAAAAAACTTAATAAAAAGATTCCTCGTTGCGTTCTAAACTTAGTCAATGAACAAATAAGTGGTGTACCAGCAGTTAAACAACGATTTTTTCCTTTCATCTTTGTCACCTATGAGAGTTCAATCACTTCGCTATATGTTGGAAACACCTTAGAGTTGGAAGTTCCAAATTCATTGGTCAATTAGCAGGATCGCCATAAGAGGAGCCTCAAAGACTACAAGCGAAGCAACTTCTGTTTTGCCACCTCTTAGTGCTGCGCAAATGGTATGGCAAGCGCCGTAGCGTAAGCTGGCAGGAAAGTTGAAGATATAGTCCATACCATGGATAAATTCATGGAGAAAGGCATCACATGTTCACCGGGGCAGCGTCACTAGGGGGGGGTGATAAGAGCATCCTCCCCTGGTGGGGAGCTACACCTGCTGGAAAACGGGTCCAGCATCCCAAATGCGTTTGTGGGTACTTAGATGACTTCCTTGATGTATTGCTATGGGCACAAGGTGCAATTATAACATAGAAAATGTTCCATTTCAGCCTAAGTAGTTTTTCTTTCGCCAGCCTCAGAGAGTTCTTTTAACCAAAGCTTAGCACTATGAAACTCTTGTAAGCAGAAGTAGAGAGTTTTTTTTTTTTGTTGGATAGAGGGGGGCAGTCCCGATTTATTTTAAATGCACTAATGGTTAACGACCACCTGAAATTTTAGAATGAAAGATTCTGAACTGGTTTGAAACCACTGAAATGGCCTGAAGACACTTCACGTCATTTCAAGAGTTTTGGGTGGTTTGGGGGTCCACTTTTTTTTTTTTTTAAGTCCAAGGTGTTGTAGAGGCCAGTCACTGAGTGCACAGTGATCACTTGGAGCTGTGAGCCACGGGTGTCCAGGAATATGAGACCACCTCCCATCCCATCCTCACGTCAATACTCCTAGCGCACCCCCTATCCCACTATCCTACCTCAGTGTGACCAGCACTCAGGACCATTGTCCTACCATTGGGTAGGCAACTTGGACCGAACAGCAGTGATAGGCACCAGGGTTGATAAGCTGCCCAGCCATGGTGGAAGCGGAATCAGACGAACCTTGTCGAATGGGAACTTCGGACGCTAGACCAGACAATCTACCACAGGTCCCAATATATGGCCACCAGACAGTTCTATCCGAATGTCAGTAGGAACTGCACCCAATGGCACCCTATCCAACCAACTTGAACCTACTGCAGATACTAGACCCTTATGTCGTGACTAGACCCCCCCAGCCTTGTGTATGTAGCCCATAGGCAATGTGTAGTTCTATGTTATGTCCGAAAGCTATATATATGTGTATGTAGCCCGTAGGCGATATACAGTTCTATGTTATGTTCGAAGGCTATGTGTGTATCATATGTGGAAACTTTGTGTATGTAGCTCGTAGGGGATGTGTAGTTCAATGTTATGTCCGAAGGCGTGTATGCAGCCGGCAGACGATATATAGTTCTATGTTATGTCCGAAGGCTAAGGCTATGTGTGTATATATAGCCCATAGGCGATATATAATTCTATGTTATGTCTGAAGGCTATGTATACTTTGTATATCGAAGAGAGAAAACGGGGTAACCTGGACAGGGTCCCCCCCAAGGTCCGAACCAAGCTCGAACCCGTGACCTTGTAACATATAATCATATGACTGTACCATGTGAACGACCAGTGAAAATGCAACCCATGTGAAACCCAGAACCAACATACAACACCATGAACAACCCTTGGGTGGTGTGCAGGCAATGTCTGTAATAGGTAACCTGCGTCATCCCAAGGGGGGGTGTATCCAGCTGTGCGTCATTCTAATGCCCTGCCGGTGTCCATGCGCAAGGCCGCGGATTTGAACCTGCAACCTTAGACCACAATGCGCATTTCCAACCAGTGTTCTAACCACTGAGCCACATCACCTGAAATAACCTGAAGTGGTTGAAGCTTCTGAAAGCGGTTTGGGTGCCCCCATCTAAATGGCTGGACGGGGGCATCGGAAACTGCTTTCAAATTTTCAGCCACTTCAATTTTTTTCAGGAGTTTCAGGTGGGGACCTGAAATCGCTGTAATGACCTGAAGTGGCTGAAACTTCTGAAAGAGGTTTCAGGTACCCCCATCCAACACCCACTTAAGGTCATTTCAGGAATTTCAGGTGTGGACGTGAAACCGTTGTAAAGACCTGAAGTGGCTGAAGCTTCTAAAAGGGGTTTCAGGTACCCCCATCCAACCATTCGGATGGGGGGACTTGAAACCCCTTTTAGAAGCTTCAACCACTTCAGGTCATTTCAGGTGAGGACCTGAAACTGCTGTAATGACTTGAAGTGGCCGAAGCTTTTGAAACGGGTTTCAAATTCTCCCATCCAAGTACCCAACACCTGTTTGAAGTGGCTGAAAGTGACCTGTAAATAACATATGTTGTTAACCATCTGTCGGTGTACCTTTCCTAGAAATCGGTCGTGGGCCCTCACCACGATTTTCGGAGGCCCGAAAGGGACGCAGACCGCGGATGAAATTTATCAACTGCGGCCCGGTGGCAGTGAGGGGCCGCATTTTTGTTTAACGAGTAGGGAAAGGTACTGGCGGTCTAAGGTTTGAACACACAATGTACTTCTTTCGGAGCATCGCTTGGGTGCCTTGCAATCACCTCGCCACACAGAATACAGTCCCCTAATCACTTCAGACCCCCCGGCCTTCCTCTCCCAATGCTTCAAAATTCAATACAGATGAACTCTTCAAAGTTGAAACCATAATCTGCCTTGACCCAAAATCAGAGTAGATTTCATACACTGTACATGGCACGCTGGACCCGTTTTCCAGCAGGTGTGGCTCCCCACTAATAGACGGAGCCTCCCCCACAATACTAGCGGTGTCTGCTCATATCAGCACCCCTAGTAGCCTGAAGGGAGTTTTTTCAAAAAAAAAAAAAAAAAAAAGAGTAGATTACCACCCGTCTACCCACCCAACCCAGATGAACAAACTCCATAACCATAGTGAAACTTGGCTACCTCCATGGTTATCACCCAGATGACACATATAAAAGGACTCTTGATAACTGTTCATCATGACAGGGACCCCCCCAAGTCATGATGAACAGTTATCAAGAGTCCGTTTGTATGTGTCATCTGGGTGATAACGATGGAGGTAGCCAACCACTGCTGTTCAGTCCAAGTTGCCTGCCCGTTGGTAGGGCAATGGTCCTGAGTGCTGGTCACACTGAGGTGGAATAGTGGGATAGGGGGTGCACTAGGAGTATTGACGTGAGGATGGGTTGGGAGGTGGTCTCATATTCCAGGACAACCACGGCTCACAGTTCCAGGAGCATGGTCCCACTAGCGACGGGGATAGGATTACGATCCTGAATCTGGGCATGTTTTAGGCAGAGATGCAGAAAAGGAGTTCAATCTCGAATTTTTGCACTTGTCCACAAATGCAGCCAGATTCAGGCCTTCAATCCAATCCTCTTTGCTAGTGGGACCTCTCCCCAGGTGATATCACTGTGCACACACTGACTGGCCTCTACAACACCCTGGAAAAAAAAAAAAAAAAAAAAAAAAGATAACTGTTCATCATGAAAAGCCTCAATCCAAGCACTCTGTCTGCAGCTGAAGAGGCAAATCTCTCCAATAACACCCAGCACACATTCAACAACAAGGTCCAAAAAAATACCGAAGCGAAGCTTTGGCTACCATTCCCTCACACACATCTGAACACAGGCTCTGAAGAATAAAAAGAAGAAAAAGATGAACAAGAAAAAG